TCATATATCCAGTGACCCTGAATTAGTGGCTTGGGCACAAGAGAATGGATTGCTATCAAAGCTGATTGGAAGCTCGTTGGGTAGATCTTGTCACCAATGGACCTTACTATAAGATAATATTGCAGGGCTGTTTCACTGAGAAACTTCCAATATCCCTGTCTTCAGGTATTTTGTTTGTTCTTGACCTAGTCAAATTCCTGAGTATTATGGAAGAGATAAGCCAGGCTGCATCGAGTTTTGGAAGCCATGTAGAGGGAGAGGACAGGAGTCAACAGCCAGTGTAAATGATCACTGAATGTTTGCAGTAAGGAGGTACCCTCGCCCTCCCCTGTGCTTAGTTTTCTACAGTCCCTCACTTTGATGGTAAAACAGGAAAATAAGGAAGGCATCTCAGTGATATGCATAACAGATTTACTCTTCCAGTCTTATGTGGGGGGTGTGGGGGTAGGGAGGGTGGAGGTGATGTTACCAGCCTTTGGGAACTGGAGAGGGCAGCTGAACTCTACTTCTAAAAGCAACTTGTGGGAGGACTCTGGGGTCTTTTGGGAGTTAAGTGGTAAAATTATTTGGTTTCTTGGCTTTTCCCTAACTTTGGCTTATGAATCAGTATCTTTGGCTTTGTTAAATTAGTTACAGCTTTCCTTCTGCTTATCAGGTTTTTATTGCTCTTTTGTATTATAGGTTCATTTTCTTAGCCTTTCCCCTGTTATTAGATTAGGATTCATAATTAAAATACTTTGTAATCTACTCTTTCCAACAAGATACATATTTTAATATTTTTCGTGCCAATAAGATACTTCCACATCAACATTTTAATGACTACATAGGAATCTCTTTTTAGAGATCTGACTTATCCCCTGTTGTAACGTAGTTGTTATAAGCAGGATTGCAAAGAGCCCCCTTCTACCTAAAATTTGTGTCAGTCTTTCAATAAATTTAAAATGTGAGAAAATTATGAATCTTTTATTAAAATGTTTTATTTCTGATAGTATGAAGATGTTTCCTTTTCTAATATAGACCTTTCAGTATAAACATTCCAGTATAAAATTTCCCCCCCCAGATGGGAAATCCTACGTATGTTTCATTCATACTACATACTGAGGCTGGACTAGAAACAGGAAAGGCACCCAATACATATTTGCTAATGAGACATATGCATTATAAATGAATTTTAATTATTTTATTTTAAAACTTCAAAGAAAAGGGGTCTGCTATGAAGGAAGCAGGATGTAATAAGTTTAAAATATTTTATTTTCATAATTTTTAGTTACTTTGAGGTTACTCAGGTCATAAAGTTAGTAGGATTGAGAATTACATTTAAAAAGAAGGAAGCCAGCATGGCAGGGCAGTGTATAGGCTTGCCAACACCCACCACACCTAGATAGCAAGCACGGCTGAGGCATTTATGCTGGTGAACTTGTAACAAATGACTTTAAATATAAGATACCAACATATAATGCATTTATTTTGGAATTTAAGGATAAGCCTCCTATTATATAGAGATGATTTACATCTATTGCGATGAATTATGTGGTTGGATTAAATAAATATTATTTGCTTAATCTAGTCCTGGGTTTCTCAAAGTGGAGTCTGCACATGATCTGTCTCAGAATCACATGGAATCTTCAATATTCACTTTCCTTGGCTCGCCTGAGACCTATGGAATCAGAATCACTTTGAGTGGCCCAGGATTCTGCATATAACCAACTCTGCATATACACATTACAATCTACCTGTCTTCTCTAGACTAAAATAGAAGAAACTGAGAAAGTCAAGTACACATCTAATATAAATTTGAAAAATCTAATGAATTTAGAATTAGTGATTAGGGAAATTCTGGTAAATTGATTTATTATATTTTATTGCTTTCTCATTCAATTATTACTCTCTAAGAATTCAACTAATTAGCTTACCATACAGAAAGTCAGGAAAAATTATAACTTTTTTTAAACTTCTCATTCTCTGATATGACCAGTGGCTAGAGGCATTAATTTGTGGTTTAAGAAATTAACACATGCAGACTTGTATACAACTGTTGAGTATTTTGCATCTCTGGCTTAGAATTTCAACTTTTTAACCCAACATATTTTAGATAATATTTTCTTTAAAATTGGTTTTAATTACAGACAAGCTCGATGTGTTGTGAAAATTTAAATCAAACATTGCTCGGATTAACAATTTATGCAAGAACATAGCAGTATGTGAGCTCTTGCCACAAAGCCTGAAACATAGTAGGTATCAGTGAATGCATATCCTTGTCTCTCTAGCATCATTACTTTCCAAAAGTGGTGGTAAAGAGGGAAAATATTAAAACCATCTCAGTGATAGGGTCACCCTATAGGAATGAAATGTCTTACTATTTAAAAAGTAAATATATTAGATCTTTGCAATAATATTAGGTAGCATATTTACCAAGTATTACTCGTAACATATAAATCCTAAGCTGTTGACATGAGGTATAGGTGCTTATAATTATCTCCACTTTAATAGTAAGTGAAGCACAATGAGATTATTTATAAAGTTATCCAGGATCAACTAAGTGGTAAATAGTAAAGCCTAATTTTGAACTCAGAAAATCTGTCTTAAAGATCACATCTACTATGATGTCTCCCATCAAAGATGTAGAACTACCACTACTATAATAGGAAGGCACTTTGCATGTAAAAGCTGATGATGAATATGTATCATTTGATATATCTTAGTGATAACTAAGTTTTCATCTTCCTATTAAGTTTTGCATGTTAAATATTTCTAATAATTTATTTAAAAATACATGATACAGCTTTTTTGCAAGTGTTCTGGTTTGCCACCAGAACACAGGTGTGAAAACCACCACTTAACCTAAACCAAAATGGGAAAGGAAAAGACTCACATCAACATCGTCGTCATTGGACACGTAGATATGGGCAAGTCTACCACTACTGGCCATCTGATCTACAAATGTGGTGGGGTCTACAAAAGAACTATCGAAAAATTTGAGAAGGAGGCTGCTAAGATGGGAAAAAGCTCCTTCAAGTATGCCTGGGTCTTGGATGAACTGAAAGCTGAACATGAACGTGGTATCACCATTGATATCTCCCTGTGGAAATTTGAGACCAGCAAGTATTACGTGCCCCAGGACACAGAGACTTTATCAAAAACATGATTACAGGCACATCTCAGGCTGACTGTGCTGTCCTGATTGTTGCTGCTGGTGTTGGTATTTGAAGCGGGTATCTCCAAGAATGGGCAGACCCATGAGCATCCCCTTCTGGCTTATGCACTGGGTATAAAACAACTAATTGTTGGTGTTAACAAAATGGATTCCACTGAACCACCCTACAGCCAGAAGAGATACGAGGAAATCGTTAAGGAAGTCAGCACCTACATTAAGAAAATTGGCTACAACCCCGACAAAATAGCATTCGTGCCAATTTCTGGTTAGAGTGGTGACAACGTGCTGGAGCCAAGTGCTAATGTGCCTTGGTTCAAGGGATGGAAAGTCACCCGTAAAGATGGGAATGCCTGTGGAACCACACTGCCTGAAGCTCTGGATTGCAGTCTGCCACCAACTCGTCCAACTGATAAGCCCTTGTGTCTGTCTTTCCAGGATGTCTACAAAATTGGTGGTATTGGTACTGTCCCAGTGAGTCGAGTGGAGACTGGTGTTCTTAAGCCTGGCATGGTGGTCACCTCTGCTGCTGTCAATGTTACAACTGAAGTCAAGTCTGTTGAAATGCACATGAAGCTTTGAGTGAGGCTCTTCCTGGAGACAATGTGGGCTTCAGTGTCTAGAAGTATCTGTAAAAGATGTTCGTCGTGGCAATATGGCTGATGACAGCAAAAAAGACACACTAATGGAAGCAGCTGGCTTCACGGCTCAGGTGATTATCCTGAACCATCCAGGCCAGATCAGTGCTGGATATGCACCTGTGCTGGATTGTCAGACAGCTCACATTGCTTGCAAGTTTGCTGAGCTGAAGGAGAAGATAGATGGTCATTCTGGAAAAAAGCTGGAAGATGGTTCCAAGTTCTTGAAAATCTGGGGATGCTGCCATTGTTGATATGGTTCCTGGCAAACCTATGTGTGTTGAGAGCTTCTCTGACTATCCTCCTCTGGGCCGTTTTGCTGTTCGTGACATGAGACAGCCGGTTGCTGTGGGCGTCATCAAAGCAGTGGACAAGAAGGCAGCTGGAGCTGGCAAAGTCACCAAGTCTGCCCAGAAAGCTCAGAAGGCTAAATGAATGTTATCCCCAATACCTGCCACCCCAGTCTTAATCAGTAATGGAGGAATGGTCTCAGAACTGTTGTGTCAATTGGCCATTTAAGTTTAATAGTAAAAGACTGGTTAATGATAACAATGCATCATAAAACCTTCAGAAGGAAAGGAGAATGTTTTGTGGACCTTTTTGTGTGTGTGTGTGTGCATGTGTGGCAGTTTTAAGTTTATAGTTTTTGAAATCAGTACTTTTTAATGGAAGCAACTTGACCAAAAATCTGTCACAGAATTTTGAGACCCATTAAAACGAAAATTTTTTAAGTAAAGAGACTGGTAGGAAGACAGCCCCAGGACCCAAACAATCTGGATTTAAATGCTGACTTCATGATTTATTAGATCACTTAAACTTTGAGTCTTAATTTTCTCATCTGCAAATAGGAATGATATTTACTCATACCATTATACTCATACCATTACCATACAGAGTAGAGATCTATGTACTAGTGCTCATTGAACTCATTGCACTGAGTCAAATACAACTATTATAATTTAATGTATAGGTTGTTACCCTGAAATGGTTATGAGAATTTCTCTATTTTATGTGAGACATATATTATATGATTAGAATAATTATATAAGTATAATTTCTAATATCAAAATCATTAAAATATCTGTTTTATGTTTAAATCTTTAAGTATCATAAATACTTAATATTTTGTTTAATCTCCTCATTCTTTGGATAGAAGACTTTGGCTGGACTCTCCCACGGATCCTTAAACTCTTACTCTTTCTTCTTTTCAGCAAACTTACTTGATAACATGCTTTTGCGAAGTTCAGGAAAATTAAATGTGGGCACCAAGAAAGAGGATGGTGAGAGTACAGTCCCCACCCCTCGTCCAAAGATCTTGCGTTGCAAATGCCACCACCATTGTCCAGAAGACTCAGTCAACAACATTTGCAGGTTGGTCATAAATGTTTTAACAAAAGGTTTTAACCTAGGTTTAACAAAAAGTCATACTTTTTTGACTACAAAATTGTAGGCTGATGTTACCCAAGAACACATTTTGAGGAATAGTGCCTAACTCCTTAACTCTCAGAGCTGTACCTGTGTTTAGAAAAATATTAAATTTCATTTTGGCCTGAAATGGCATTCTGAGATTCTTCTTCCTTTCTGCAAATATATCACATATGCACATCAACATAGAACACAGGTCCCGAGCTTGGGACAAGTGTCAAGGACAAAACCCATTTTTTTTTTCCCAAAAGACCCTATCCCCAAAATAAATTCAATAGCAGAGGGTGTCAAATGTGTGAGGATTTTTATTAGTTTTAATCATTCATCCTGTCATTGGTGGTCAATATTTTAGAAAGAACACCTGAGTTGTTAGGAATATTCATTGACTCTGGGAAGCAGTGTAGTGATAGAGCTTATTTGAGTCCACCAGATGGTAGGAAAGACATTGTCAGAGTACTAGAGAATAAACTCCTTAGTGAATAATCATATTTGTATCAAAACTTTATTTAGAACTGGACTATTTCCCTCTTTCTTTCTAATGCATCTTAACGCAGCTACATCCATTTTGCTAGGCACTCTAGCCTATATTTACACCCTCATGAAACAGTGGGTAAAGAGGCATAGCCTAATAAGGCCAGTGTGCCCAGAGAGACATAGCAGAGTAACTAGACAAGTGCAGATCTCAAGAGTTAAGATGTCAGAAAAGCAGTATGTCTTTCAAGAAATAGGCCCAAATGGGAACATGGGCTGCTAGGTTTGAAGTCCATGCAGAATATCTGAGCAATAATTTAGGTCCTATTTACCCAGGAAGGAGCATAAAGCTGAGCTGAATGCTTTTTTTTTTTTCTTCTTCCTGAGAAAGAAGGCATATCCTGTGATATGCAGCTCAAGAAATATATATTAACTGAACGATAGGGGGGAATGTTAGGTATATTCATAAATACATATCTCCTTTAATCAGCAAAACAACTGAGCATGGTAGGGCATGCTTATTTCTTATCATTAGACAAGGAATTCAGGGCTCGGGGAAGTCTAGTAACTTGGCTCTTATATGGAGAACAAAGTTGGGATCACGGAGTCTTGTGCCATGGTAAAATGATTCCAGAGCTCAGATGGTATTTACTGGGAAATAACACCTGTTTGTAGTAAATGGTAAAAGTAGCAGGAAAATGTCAAAGTTTTCTGAAAAATAGAAAATTATCAGGAAGAAACATATTAGGTGGATATTTTACTATTTTGCCTGAGTCTGTAGTAATTAAGAATAAATCTGTGTGTGTCATTGGAGCTATAGTTCTGGTGATCACATGTGCAAACTCTGCAAAATTATCCCAACTTTAAATATTCTGTCCTATTTTCCTTATAGGACATTGGAGTGTCCTAAGTTGATTTGGAAGAAAGTGTTCAGACAGGGTTAACTGCAGGACAGATTCTTTGCATGGGAAGGAGAAGTTTGGCATATTCAAAGAAGACTGGTTTTCCTAAAGTGCAGGGAGCAGGTGGAGGTGTGGCTATAGTTGAGCCTGGAGCTAGGAAAGATTATCCATGGCCGGCTTTATTAAGAATGTTCGTCTTATTTCTGGAAGCATTGGGAGGTCAGTGATGGGGATTTGTTTAAGCAGGAGTAGCAGTGGTATTAATGTGGATTTAGGAAAGACAGTTCATGTAAGAGAACATGATCTTGGACTAGGGTGGTGCTGGTGCAAGAGGGAAGTGAATGTGTTGGGGAATTATTTAGAAGGAAAGTTTTATTTTGATGAACTGGCTTCACAAATTGCTTGATGTACATTTAGATGCACAGTGTAGGCTTTTAATGAAAGAAGACAGAGAGAAGTAATTAAGTTCCAATCTGGACATACTGAGTTTAAGGTTTTTTTTTTAAGATTTTATTTATTTATTCATGAGAGACACAGAGACAGAGAGACAGAGACACAGGCAGAGGGAGAAGTAGACTCCATGCAGGGAGCCGGACATGGGACTGGATCCAGAGTCTCCAGGATCATACCCTGGGCTGAAGGCGGCACTAAACCGCTGAGCCACCCAGGCTGCCCAAGTTTAAGGTTTTTGACCCCCCACAAATGGAGATACCAAAGAGTAGGCCATGGGATATGGATTTGCAGCTGAGATGAGTTTGGGGGAAGAGTCTAGAGTGAACAGAAGATGAGTCAGTTTTTGCTGTGAAATAAATGGTGTCAAAATCACAGTGACTTACAGCTAAAGACATTCATATTTTCATTCCTAGGTCTGCAAATGGGCTGCAGCTGTGCTGGGCCCTGCTGGATTGGGTGGGCTTGGCATTGGACTGTTTGCTTGAGTTTAGGCCAGTTCCACATGTTTGTCCACCCTTCTTAGAGTAGAAGCTATCCAGGGCTTCTCACTTGACTGTGAGGGAGCAGCATCTTAGAACTTGTACTTGTGGGATGTCCCCTAACATTCCATTTTCCAAATCAAGTGATTTGGTACCAAGTCAAGCTCAACTTCAGAGAGAAGCCATGGCTAGAGTGGTGCATGAAAAATTGAGTATAGTAATAAAATAATCCAATAGACCAGAGTAGGACTGAGCCTTGAGACATTTAATGCTTGGGTCAAGGAGGCTCTTCCCAGAAGATCCAGAATGAACATATAACGGTGAGTATGATATCATTGAAACCAAGTTTACAGAGGGAGGAAGTAAGGTCAGCTGTGTTAGAAGTTGTTAGAGGTCAAGTAGGGTAAGAACCAAAACACAGCAGTCAGATTTATTGACCTTGATAACTGCAGTTAAGAAATATTTATTCCAAAGTCCTTAATTCTTGACCATCAGCCAACCCTTGAAATGGCTCTCAAAGGAGCGAATATTCACTCTTGAGTAAAATGAACATCTTTTTTGCTAACAAGATGTTAACTCCAGTTGAGTCTCCTAGGAGCTGAGGTCGGTTGTGTGAATCACAGGGGCTACTTTGTTCCTGGGCCTAAGACCTAGAATAAATTCAGTCCTCCATTACTATAAGCCCATGATCTACTTTTTGACTTCGAAAAATCAGTACCTGTCATGCTGTCTCTGGTGAAATACATACACACACCCCCAACACCCAATCAGCTGCACCGATACTTTTCTAAAGCACAATAAAAATGAATTACTAGAGAATAGATTTAAAAATACTTGCAAATTGCATACTTATTTTTTTTCTATTTTTCTATTATAGAGATTCAGCAGAGCTAAATTTATTGTTATACAAGTTTCCATTTCTGTATTAATTCCTCACAGACCAGTAGGAAGCAGTTTGCTGACCTGCAGAGGAACACACTTGGAATGATGTTGCATTCAGTCTCTTGCACTCCTAGGTAGAACAGTTCTGAAGACCAGGGTATGCTTTGTTGAGGCTTAGATAAAGGCTCATCTGGGCTGTGTGGCCTGAGGTCTTATAATAGGTAGTGCTTAGCCAATCTGAGTTGGCCAGTCTCTGATTCATTACCACTCTCATATTCCTGGACAGAATAGTCTTAAAAAGTGGCCAGAATCAGGAGTGCTTCATACTTAAAAGAGATTCTCAAATCCCACCTGATAATTCAGAAAACATGTATAAAGTTTAGAGTGTTTTTAAGCTCTTCATAAGTAGCATTGATCACATCACTAGTCAACACTAAGGCCAGACTCAGTCTTGGCCTTGATTCCTATCAGGTGCAGGTATGTCTGCTTCCAAAACCCATGCCGTTTCCCGTGCCTCGTGGCATACATGTTAGAGAATGTAGTGAAAATATGCTGAATAAAGTATTAGAAACTTTTTTAATATCCACAACTCAAAGGAAGGAGTGAAGCCATTATTTTATCTGTCTCAAGGTAATATCTATCTTCTTTTTTTTTAATATCTATCTTCTAAATATCTTTCTAGCTGTTACTTTACATTGTGAATCCTTCCCATTCCATTTTCAGATTTATTCCTAGGACCTTAGACTATCACTGCACACCTGAACACTGCAAAATCTCCTGTAATGACTCTTCTTGTGACTTTCACCATGCCATGTGTTTTGTGAAGCTTATAAATTATTTTTGGTTTGTTGGGGTGCCGGGGTGGCTCAGTTGGTTAAGCTTCTGCCTTTGCCTCAGATCATGATCCCGGGGTCCTGGGATACCCCCTCCACCCCTCCAGGAGAGCCAGCTTCTCCTTCTCCCTTTGCCCCTCTCCCTTGCTCATGCTCGCTCTCTTTCTCCCTCTCTCTCTCTCATGTATAAATAAAATCCTTAAAAAATAGTATTTTGCTTTGTTGCAGATAATATGCACTTGAAATGATTCTCTAACCTTTCTGCTTGTCCTCCAGCTACATATTTGATTTCTGTCTGAATTGATGACTTATGGGACATTGACTTTTCTCCAGGGCTTCTCTCCTCCTGCATACCCTCTTTGTATTTTTAACTCTACCCTCTTTGCAGACAAGGGAGTGTTTTTTTAAGGCTTGAATTTACTCTCCCTGATTTCTTTATATTTCCCAGGACATTGTCAGAAACACTTGCCAACAGCTTAACCAGCTTTTTTTATTCTGTTTTTTGATCCTTATGAGTGTCTTTCCATACATTCAGATTTTGAGTAAGGGGAACTCATAAATAAGGAGAAATTAATCTTTTTAGAGTTAACATACTGTATCACTTTTTCTAGCCCCATGAATTCCTAATGTCAGAAAATCAAGGTGACTTTCTTTCTGATAATTCCTGAATTTTACTTTTGATGAGACATAGAAGTTATACATATATATGTTCTAAATGGGAAGGAAAGGAATTTAAAAAAATCACATGGGTATTGTTTGCTCATATTGTTTAAATTTCTAAGGGACAGCTTTTTTATTTATTGCCTTCAGTGTTTACGTGCTTTAGATTTCCACAGTAATTTCCGTAAATTGGCTAGAAAGCCCCAAAGAATTCAGAGCAAGGGCTGTTCAGAGGCAGTCTTTCTTCCACGACAATATTCATGCATTTGACCTTAGTCTATCAAAGAGATTTATCATTGGCCCTTCCTAGTCATTCATTAGTATATTTGAACGTTGCTGGTGTAGTTCTTATAAACTGAGGTATTTTGGATCACTTGAGGTTATAAACTGAGTAAACCATTCTAAGGGTGTTGGTGATAACTGGAGGGCTAATGTGTGGTAGAATGGTGCTGCCATTGATACAGAGAGACAAACCCACAAATCATGGCTAATGCCATGCTCAGAGCTTTCTTCCCCTGACCTTTTAGGGCTACGTTACCATAACTGTCTTGGATGCTGAGCAAGCATGTGTATGAGAAGAAGATGGAGATACGATTTAGTACTTTATTTCTTAGCACTCGCAGTAGTGGTTGGTGACTTATTAGGAATCTGCTGGCATTCATCATCCTAACTTGTGAAGACAGTACAGACTGTTTATAAATAGTTCAGTATGTCAGAGTTCTTGTTTTCCAGCTTTAGCCCCAGGCGAGGATAGTGCAAAGCATGGGGATGAATAAAAGCAAGAGGTCCTAGACTAATTATCTTACTGTTTGTTATGCCACCATATACATGTTTATTAGACCCCCTAACTTTAGTTTCCTCATTTGGAAAATAGAAATAATATCACTTTCTTTTCATTGTTGTTGAGAGGGTTAAATGAGATCGAATAAGTAAATTTTTTTAAATCTGGAAAACCATATGGAAATTTAGAGTTTTGTTTCTTTGCTTTCCATGATCTTGTTAAAACCCCCTTTTTCTGTTGTTCATCCTCACCCCACCCCCAGTGTAAGCCCTGGCTGCTTACCAAAGCTTGATATTTCCATATGACAGACCAGCCTCAAAGCAGAGGGACCAATGATAGAACATTAGCTCACTTATGCTGTGCTGATCCAAGCTCCTACCTGTCTTTCTTTTGGTCTGTTAGTAAGAGGTTTATTTCACTTGGAGCAAATAGAACCAGCATAAATGTTTACCTGGATGGGGCCAAACCCCTGCCGGGCCTCTTATTTGCTGTAAGGCCCTTGAAAAATTGCTCAGACTTCTCTAAACCTCATTTGAAGATAAGAATAATACTGTTTTCCTCACAGAGTCATTTTTCTGGATTTGGGGAGGTGATGCCTACGGAGGACCAAAGCAGGTGTTTAGTCATTGGTATATATGGTTATTAATGGGCATATGTTATATGGAAACTTTGGCTTCTTCTTTCTCAGCAAGTTTCTAGACTGAGAAGGTATTACCAAATATTTTATAGTCTACATCAAATTTCATAAAAGGACGTTTTGGAATGCTCTTAGCAGATTGTAACCTGTAAAGATCATCAACTTTCTCCTTGTATGTAATAAAACAAATGGTAAACATGTTCCTTTCCTCGTACACACACACACACACACAAACACACACACAGACACACACACACTTACTTTGCCTGTTTGGTCTTTAGCACAGATGGATATTGTTTCACAATGATTGAAGAAGATGATTCTGGGATGCCTGTGGTCACTTCTGGATGTCTAGGACTAGAAGGCTCAGATTTTCAGTGCCGGGTAAGGAAGAGAACTTGATTCTACTTTGTAACCTTTCATTACTAGCTCTCAAGCAGTCAGGTTTCAAGTTAGATAAAACAATTGCTTTTCTTCACTAGCCTATTTTTAGTAAGTTGGAGAATGATTTGAAAATTCTCTTAGTGGGCCAACTCTGCCTTCATTTCAAAATCAACTATTTTTCTGTTTGCTGTTAACTTCTTGATTAGTGACTCACTAGATTATCTTGCTCAGATTCCAGTTAAATTAATTGCATTAATCCAAGCCTTACTCCTCAGTTTGTAACTATGTTTCCTGTTTATTACAAATGTAATAGTGGTTTTGTTGAAATGCAAAAGCTGCAGTAAGATAATACATGGACATTGAAGAGACATTTCCTAATAGAAGGTGGTATTTTCAGGATGTTTGAGGAAAATTATCAGAATTTTAAGTGAGTTCTATAAATAGTGTTAGATCTCTGAAAAGTTTTAGATTATGTGACTTTGAAATTTAGGGGAATCTGCTAATATCAGTTTGGGTTTAACTTTAGGATACCCCCATTCCTCATCAAAGAAGATCAATTGAGTGCTGCACAGAACGGAATGAATGTAATAAAGATCTACACCCTACATTGCCTCCACTGAAAAATAGAGGTAAGGAGAGGGAAGCTTGGGAGCTGGAAGCATTTTAGGCACAAAGAAAATAAAAACTAGAATTGCTCTGTGTTTTTTAAATGAATGTACCTGTATCATTTTCCACTGCTGGGGCAGGGGACCGAGGCAAAGTGACATGATTCAAAGACATGGGCAAGTAAGTAGTTCTTGGAAAAGTAGTCATCTGTGGCTTCATGCTTGAGAATCTTATTTCTTTAACTTCTCCCCTCTTCTCTGTAAAAACTAGAGGTCCTAGAGCTTTGTAGTAGGTTTCAGGAGCAGAGAGGAGGAAGACAGTGTCTTATGCTTACCTCTAAGTGTCACTCAGAAGTTGCACTTCACTCAAAAAATGCCATTAGGCTAACATGCATTAAAAAAAAAAAAAAAAGGACTGAGTTAGATTATTTGCCAGATGCATTTCCTTTTGTCTGGGCTAGAGCAACTGCATTTTAGTCAAATCATATATCAATATACTGATAGAAGGAGGAAGATCTCTAGAGAATTTGATTTCAAAACTTATGCATTTAAGTATTGCTCACTGAAAAAGACAAGTATTGCAACCTGAAAGACTTTTTGTTAAACACTGCTCCCATGTTTCCTTTCTTCTCCTGGGCTCTCTCCACTAGATAAATGACTAGAATTGTCACAGAGTCCTGAGGCCTAAGTCTTATATAAGTGGTTTAAAATGATTTCTCATGATTGATTTTACTTCTTGAGAAAATCTTCCTAACAAGATATAATGACATCACTTGGTTTTGATGATAATATGTTATAGTACTTGTTTCTGCTGAAGCCTATAAAGCATTAAAGGATTGATTAATAATAATTCACATAAAACATTCAGTTTTTTAAATATATTGCCAGTCAGCATAGTAGATGTTAGGGATACAGAAATAGATGCAGAAAATTCCTGCTCTCAAGACATGTACACTGGGATGTGAGAAATATGTAAATAATTAAATTATATTCAGTCAGGAGTAAGTTAAGGGCACCTGGGTGGCTCAGTCAGTTGAGTATTTGCCTTTGGCTTGGGTCATGATCCCAGGGTCCTGGGATTGAGCCCTGTATCAGGCTCCCCTCTCAGCAGGGAGTCTGCTTCTTTCTCCCTGCTTGTGCGGTCTTTCTCTCTCTCTGTCAAATAAATACATAAAATCTTTAAAAGAAAGGAGTATCTTAGTAGAGTTAGATTGTAAAGTACAGTAAGGACATAAGTGAGTGAGTGGTTTACTCTGCCTGGGGTGGGAGATGTCAAAAAAGCTTAACAGAAGTGACACTTGAACAAGACTTTAAGAATGAACAGGAGTTCCCTAAGGGGGTAAGACAGGAATACAAATTTTTAAAAATTATAATGGTTGGCATAAGCCAAGCATTATGTTCAGCGTCACATTAGTTAACCCATTTGAGTCCTGCAACAATCCTAAGAGGTACTTAAAATTATTTCTTGTTTAGAGATGAAGAAATTGCAGCACAGGGCAGTTACTTAATCCTCTCAGAGTTGCACAGTCTCTTAGTAGCAGTGACTAAACAGAGGCAGTAGTAAATGTGAGAGGTTTGCTTTGAAATGCTTGAGAAGCATTTGCAAAATACAGGCGTAGCAAACAGCATGGCTGGTTGGAGAAAATCTCATAATTGTTGTCTAAAACTTCATTATTTAAAGTAGATCTGTAGATCAGCTCATTAGTATCACTTGGAACTCATTATAAATTTGGAATCTCAGGGTGCCTGGCTGCTTCAGTTAGTTAGGTGTCTGGCTCTGCATTTTGGTCAGGTCATGATCTCAGGGTTTGAGATGGAGCCTGGTATGGGACTCTGTGCTGAGAGTGGAGCCTGCTTGAGATCCTCCCCCTTCCTTCCCCTCTGTCCCTGCCCCTCAACTCACACTCAAATAAGTGAAAGGAATTAATTAATTAATTGATTGATTTAATTAATGTGGAATCTCTGGCCCCACTCCCAGACTACTAAACTTACTTTTTAAGACTATTCCTCAGTGATTTGTATGCACATTAAAGTTTTCTACTTTGGTAGAAAAAGACTACTAACTTACTTTTTAAGACTATTCCTCAGTGATTGTATGCACATTAAAGTTTCTACTTTGGTAGAAAAAAGACAGTATCCATATGTGGATATAGATAGCGGCCCTTGAGTCTCACCGTGTGAGTTTGATAACACCTTGTTAGAGAAGTGTGCTGGTGTCAAATTGCTGTAAAGTTGTAAATGTTTACTTTCTGGTTTTGTAGGTATTTCCTTGTGAACCAGTTGCAGAAAGTTGGCGGTCTGTTGACACTATTTTGAATAGCACTAGTATAGGGGCTTATGTATTGGGAATGGGGGAGGGAGGAGGGTGAGAAATGACTGGAAACGAAAACAGAAGTGCTAGATTTTAGGATCTCTTCCCTCGAGGAGAAAAGGTTGTTCACATGAAAATGAAGGTGCTGTGTCCTAGAAGTTGCAGTAAGATTTAGGAAAGTTCTGATTCTTCCTCTTGCAGAAAGGGCTGCAGTGTGAGTATTGTCCTGTAGATGGCGCCAGATTCTAGTTAGCACTAGAGTGCTAGTGAGGCAGATGAGGGAATGTTCTCTGAGGAGGTTGAGAATGTAGGGACTTTTAAAAATAGTAGAATAAGTCTCAGAGAACTGAGTGAAAGGATTTTGAATAGAAAGGCAGCAGCATAATCCTTGTTTTAGAGCAGTATGGGAAGGAGGATGCAGGAATGGCTGGTACATAATACTGAAAATTATACAAGATAGTAGACTTGGGTGGAATTTAGTGGCATTAAAGTTTACTGCTTTGAACTTTGAAAATCCCACGTAGGACCTAGGTGAGTTCTTTGTATATTCCACCTCACCCTTCCGATGCAGTCATTTTGGGGTCCAATAAAAGTCACTGCAGGCTGCAGTCTGAGAGTACTGGCATTTTATAACATAGCTCTACCATAAAGCTGTGACCTTTTTTTTCTTTTTTTCTTCCCCTTTAACCTTCACCAGATACACTGAGATGACCAGTGGTTTAAAAAAAGAATGGGATGGGACAAAGTTCTGGGTGGACACATCCCCTGGGTCCTGCAGACTCATTTCTTAATGGGAAGGGGCATGGTTGGAGGGACCCTCTAAAATTCAGAGCCAAGGCTGATTGTCTGGCCAAAGACCATGGAAATCATCTTCATACTTGTAATATTTGCTAATGAGAATGGGGCGCTTATTTACTAAGGCTCTTTTCTGAGTACTTTACATATGCAAATTTACTGAATCTTCATAACCTGATAAGGAAGGCATTGTGATTACTATCCCCATTCACAGATAGGGAAACTGAGGAACAGTTAAGTACTGTGTGAAGGTTACCCTTACTAAAGTATGTAGTAGAGAGAGGAAATGGGCCAATGGTGTCATCTTATGGCATCTTCTGCAGAGAGCTCTGAATAACATTCTCAAAAAAAAAAAAAGGTTTCACCTATGTAAGAGTTAGAAAACTCTAAATGATCGTTATAGCACCCAGTAATCAATTAGCAGAATTACCTTAAAGCCTTCTGTTTATTATATTTGATTTGCTTTATTTACTTTGTTAAATTAGCATTTTCTTTATTCTTAGAATATGGTATTAGAGGGTTACTACCTCACTCCTGTGTACTGGCACGTGTTGGCTCATTCTTCCTCTCCCTTACTTCTAAATTAATATTTACTAAGTCCCACTTGTCTTCAAATTTTAGCTGCATCAGAATTCACCTGGAGGGCTTGTTAAAATACAAATTACTGGCCCAACCCAGAGTTTGATTCAGTGTATCTGAGTGGACCCCAGTAATTTGCATTTCCAGGAGTTCCCAGGTGTTGCTAATGCTGTTGGTCCAGAAACCACACTTCGAGACTCCTTTTACTAGACCGTGCCTAGTAGATTATTATGTATTGTTACAGATTTGTTATAAATCTGTATGTTAGATTACGAGAAAGTAGAGATTATGTAGAGACTCTGTTATCAAAAGACTAAAAGGCTGAGATATCCAGCTCACCATTTTTGTTGTTGCTGTTGCTTATATAATTGCTCTTCCAAAAAAGTTAAATGATTAACCTTATCTCAAAACATCGGTATTACTAGGTGCTACATAATAAGTAGGTGAGGTTTCATTATTAGAGATTAGAGAAGTACTAAGTGTAGGGGTAAAAACCTACAAATAAACTGTCCTTATTAAAAACAAACAAAATCCTTTCTACTAATCTGGAGTTTTCTCAGACTCTTTTTTTTTTTTTTAACTTAGGTACATTTAGCAGGAAATTAGGGATACACAATCACATGCAACAAGTATGTATCAGCATTTATTTATGTCCTTGAAATTTTATTTGTCATCTTTTGTGTTGAAAAAGATGAAGGGTGGCCAGAATACAGTTTAACTTCTTTTATGAATACTGGTCTTTTGCTTATTCCCTTTCAGCACCAGAAATGCAGAACACCCTAGGATAACATTCTTCCTCTTGAAGGAGATAATCAGGAGAGCTATTAGATCAAATGCAGCACTTTCACATAAACAGTAAAATATGATCTGGGAAGCCCTGTAACATTGCAGCTGGTGCTAAGAGTAGGAAGCGATGTCTGTTTTGATGGAGAGGCTTATCTGGTGAGGTGGCAGTGCCTTGGAGTCTGGCTCCCTGCCTGCAGGATTGGAGATCAGGGCACCAGAGTGTTGGAGGAATAATGTATATCTGGACTCTCAGCATCAGATGGTTTCACCAAGATACTGTGAGTAAAATGCTCTCCTCAAATTGTGTGTAGGCAGGAGAAATTGATGAGATTCCCCTCTCCCTTCAAATTACTTATTATGGTTACTTATTTTTGTTTAATTTTTTAAAAATGAGCACTTAAAGAAGTGGCTGGTGTTGAGATGAACAGAAGCTGTTGCTTTATTCTCTAGTTTTAAAATCAAATTTATACGATTTTTTGAAATAGATATGTTTATGTGTTAAAATAAACGTATCAGAAGCAGCATTCTGTTTTGAAATATGGTAATCTCAATGTAGTTTAAGTCAAATTATAGTACAGAATTTCCAAAGTTAAATTTTATCTTATACTCCTACTCAGTTAAGAAATATATTTGGAGCAGTTTATAGATTTGCTTTAAAATGCTATTCCTGGGCAGCCCGGGTGGCTCAGCGGTTTAGCGCCGCCTTCAGCCCAGGGTGTGATCCTGGAGACCCGGGATCGAATCCCTCATCGGGCTCCCTGCATGGAGCCTGCTTCTCCCTCTGCCTGTATCTCTGCCACTCTCTCTGTGTGTGTCTCTCATGAATAAATAAATAAAATCTTAAAAACAAAAAAAGAAACCATTGGTGATTCTTCCTTGTTTCTAAGAGTGAACCAGGCTTCCCTGGAGGGTTCTCCGTTCTACTTCCTTGAGCAGTTGGAGTGACAGCGCAGGTAAAAATCTCCTGCCAAGGAGAGAACTGTGTGCTCTGTTCTTTTCCTGATAGGAATCTGGAAGTGTTCGCTTTCCAAGACTGGCAGTGACTTGAATGTTTACATTGTTAATGTTCTGAGCACAGGTAATGGCAGATTAAAACATGACCAACATGACCAACAGAAACAAAAGGTTTATTGATAAGGATCACCTATTCATAACAGAAGACAGCAGGTAGTAGATGAGGCTGCAGGGAATAGGGCTATTGGGGCAAAGAAAAGGAAAATAGGAGGTAATGCTAGCCTTAGGGGGAAAAAAAGTGCTTGATGGTTAAGGAAAGAATCCCTTAGATCCTTTCTAGTCTCATTGCTCTCATAAATCACAAATCTAATAAGATGGGAAATATATATATATATAAATTCAGAATATATTCTGAATGGAATGGAACTTAAATGGAAAGTAAAAGACAGTGAAGCTGAGAGTTTTAGTACAATTAATCACTTGAATGAAAAAGTTTGGGGCATCTGGGTGGCTCAGTCGGTTAAGCACCTGCCATCGGCTCAGGTCATAATCTCAGGTCCTGGGATGGAGTCCTGCATCATGCTCCCTGCTCAGTGGGGAATTTGCTTCTCCCTCTCTCTCTGCCCCTCCCTCTGCTCATGCTCTCTCTCTCTCTCTCTCTCTCTCTCTCTTCACTTTCACTTTCTCTCAAAAAAAATCTTAAAAAAAAGTGTTCTGCATGCAAATTCTGATAATATATTGTACTTAAGTAGTTAGTTCTTCTAGTTTTAATTGAGTATCTAGCATTCTCTTCATTTTTTTGCAGACTAGGCTTTTTGCTTTGTTATCCTTAACATTGGAAACACATTTTATACTAAATTTCCAGCAACAGTATTTGTACACCTGCATAGGTGTAAACATAGTGAATTATGCTCTCACTGGCAGAGGTATTGTGGTATTGAGGTATTGTGCTCACCTGGGGTTTATTACATATAGCCTAATGGAGGGAAATTTTGCTCAACAAATCATTATGTAAAAATCTTGGCCTCTTTAATTTTAAGAGTTTACAAATTATTTTCAAGATTTCCTAAGCAATACTTTTCAGACAATGCTGTGCTACATTATATGATTTCTGTGGGTATTAAAGCCTGAATAGTTTTTGGACCTGTCCTGTAGTGTGTGACGTTCCTGAACTCCTTTTTATCTGGACCACTGGCAACATTTCTCAAGTTGTTAACATAAAATTGCTTTTTGGGGAGCCTGGCTGGCTCAGTCGGTTAAGCATCCGCCTTTGGCTTAGGTCATGATCCCAGGGTCTCCGGTAGGAAGCCTGCTTCTCCTTCTCCCTCTGCCTGCCACTCATCCTGCTTGTGCTTTCTCTCTCCCTCTCTGTCAAATCAGTTAATAAAATCTTAAAAAAAAAAAAAACCCAAACAGCTGCTTTTCTTCAGTGGTCTCTTATTTAGTTTTTTCAGATCCAGACTACTTCCATTAATATTTTGCAAGTAGTATAATTCATAAATAGTTATACATATGTTTTAGGCTGATGAGCAAATTATCACATTAATCATAACAGAATTTGGACAAGAAATCAATATAAAGATCTGTGGATTTTAATTTATAACAAAAAATCCAAATATTTCTGAGTTAGATATACTTTCAGTTTATGTGTTCATGTTAATTTCCTCATTTCGATAATTTTATTACCATTTGTGAAACAGTCTTTGTTCTTAGGAAGTGCATTCTGAAGTGTTTATGGGTAAGGACATCATGTCTGTATCTTCAAATGATCTACAAATTGTACATTTAAATAAATAGAAATAGGAATGCAAATATATATACATGTATATATATAGGTTTTTTTTAAGATTTAATTTATTTGTTCATGAGAGACACAGAGAGAGAGAGAGAGAGAGAGGCAGAGACACAGGCAGAGGGAGAAGCAGGCTCCATGCACCGGGAGCCCAACGTGGGATTCGATCCCGGGTCTCCAGGATCGCGCCCTGAGCCAAAGGCAGGCGCTAAACCGCTGCGCCACCCAGGGATCCCTGTTGTAATCTTTTTTAAAGGATATTTTGACAAAATGTATGAAAAGCCTTAAAATATACATTTTTTGACCTAATAGTTCTAGGAATCTAGATTAAGGAAATAATCATTGACATGTGCAGTGATGTATGTGCAAGAATGTTCACAGAATTTTATATTTCGGCAAAGATATGTTACAGAAAAATCTTTACGGTCTTCCAAATAAGATTATCAGAAGATTAACTTTCTAATTAGGATGTGTCTGTATATACTATGTGGTCTTTAAAACTCACATTGTGGGAAAACAATTTATTGTTTTGGAAAATATTCACGATATCATCAATGAAAGTAATCTAGTTATAAAGCAACAGTGTTTTTTTTCCAAGGTTTTTATTGAGGTAAAATATACATAACCTAAAATTTACCATCTTAGCCACATTTAAGTGTCTTGTCCAGTCATATTAAATATGTTGATAATGTTGTATAACCATCACCCTCATCTATCTCCATAGCTCTGTTCATCTTTCAAGACTGTAACTCTATACCCATTAAACATTAATTTCCCACATCTCCTGGCAACCATCATTCTACTTTTTGTCTTTATGATTTTGACTAAGTATCTCATAGACATGGAATCATACGCAATATTTGTCTTTTTATTCCTGGATTTATTCACTTGGTATAATGTTCTCAGATTCATCATGTTGTAGCATATGTCAGAATTTCCTTCCTTTTTAAGGTTGAATGGTATTCCATGTATGCATGTATGTACCACAAGGTGCTTACCCTTTCATCTTTCAATGGTTAGTTGGGATTCCTTTGTTTTAGCCTTTGTGAATAGTATATGGCCATCTTGTGAAATACTTTGCTCATAAACTTTTTTCCCTATTTATTGAAATGATACTGCAAAGGCATATGTTAAAATGTTAGTAGTAATTTTCCCAAGAAGCGAGATGGTGGCAATTTTATTTATTTCATTACTTGGTGATTTTTAGTTTTTATTCATAGAATATATAATACTTTTGAGTGAAAAAAATGTTACCTTGAGTAGGATACGGTCCCCAGCCAAAATGTCTAGGTAGCCATACAGTTAAAAGTGTACAGCACAGTTGAAAAACTTGTTCCTAGTAACCAAAGTCATAAATTACAATAATACCTTTAAAAATTAAATAACAGTAATCACTTTCTCAAGGGTATATGGTGCCCATAATAAGAACACTGCTAATTCTGTTACTACATAAGTGCACCTGGTTTTAGGTCAGTTTTCTCAAAATGTTTCAGAGAGTCCTTACATATAAATCACCTGGGATGATTGTAAAAAATAAAATACTTGGAATAAAAATCTCTGAGGCTGAATTCAGCAAATATGCATTTGTATAAAGCTTTCCAGATTACTTTATTTATATGAGGTTTGAGAAATCACACTGTAAGTAAATCTGATTTGTCAAGAACTGGAGTTAAAACAACATGAATAATACTTAATAATTTGTTTTATAAGAGGATCATACAATAATTCTTTGAGTAGAACATACCCATTCTTTTAAAATATGATGCAATTTTTGGATGGAAAAGTTAGCTATGTGGTTCTAAAAGGCATCTTTGTTTAAAGTGGTGCACATCCATATATTCTGTATTTGACAACATTTGAGGAATCCTCTTCTTTTGTATCCGTCATAAGATGACTGTGTGTTTTATGTACAAAAATATAGATTAGTTTTTATCCAAACTCATGATATGGAACACTTCAGAAACCACATGAGAAAAACCCTGTAAACCCAGCTGGATCTGAAATAAAGAGGAATTACCTCCTTATGTTTTCAGGGCGTTGATCCATTTACATTTGTTCACACTCTGTACTTTCATTCTGCATCAAGCCTGTGCCTTCCGGAGAGGAAGAAATGAGTGCCTAGATGAATTATGATTTACACTAGTTGAACTTACGTAGTTTTAATTATGTGTATATATTTACTGTGCAATATACAGTATTGCTCTTATCTGTGGGCAGATTAAAAGGACCCGGGGCATCTTGCATATGGGGCTTGGCCAACACTTTTAGGGAAGAGTTGCTTCCTAACTTTTAAGTGAAAATATCCTCCATATTATGGCTCCTTTTCTTTTTAATTTCAGATTTTGTTGACGGACCTATACATCACAAGGCCTTACTTATATCTGTAACTGTCTGTAGTTTGCTATTGGTCCTTATTATTTTATTCTGTTACTTCAGGTAAGTTTCCAACATGTAGATGTAGAATTTTGAGTTTAAAATATCATCGTCATACTGTTCCACCTGTTGACGTTTTTCACCATAGCTTTCTTTGACTTCTTTAAATCTTAGATTTCCCTGATAGTGTCAGTTACTATTGATAAATATTTGTTTCAATGAAACTGTTAATAGATAGCTATCTCATTTCTGCTTCAGACATCAAAGTCACCCAGGTAAATTTTCACCCTTAGGGAATTTAGGGTAATTAGGGAATTTGGGAACCAGTTGTTACTCAAGATTTGATTCTGAGTGAAGAAATGGCCATGTTGAACAAAGAGTCACTCTAGTAATCCTTTATTTCCTAAGCTAACAATTCCCCTAATATGAAAAAATTTTAAACATAATTTGTAGGTTAGTTATTCAGATAAAATAAGCTTAACTCTTGAAGTTAAGTGACAAATTATTTTCGTTCACGTAAGAACTTATTTTTTACTCTGTGAAATATCAAGGACGTTTAAATTTTTATCTTTTGCCTTTTGTAACACTCATTTATGATACTGTTCTGCAAATAGGAATTGATTCAAGTAAATTCATTTCTAATTGGAGGCATAATTATTGACAAAACATTTCTAAAGTTTAAATTTATTTAATTTATCTGCATTATTGCTGTATGCCTTACTTGAGATGGGAGAGTTAGCTGTTATATCTTTTGTAAACCCCAGATTTTCATCTTTAATTAGGGACCTTAAAGGGGAAAATTTTAGGAAAGGTGTATTGAATCTATATAGAAATATTCTTGGAATCCCTGCTGGGAGATAGGCAACTAAAGGGAGAAGAGGAATTTTAGATGGTTGAGACCAAGTAAAAACACGTAGTTTACTTAAAAAATAGGTTAGCAAAAATAATTATGATTTGTATTTTCGAAATCATAACTAAGGGTAATAAATACTAAAAATTTACCTTCTTTTATGCTAAAATGAAATCTGCTGTGAATACTTTTATCTGCAGTGTTTTACGCCAATTGTTGCAACTCAGTATCTTAAATTATCTTCCTCTGTGCATCTTTAGGTATAAAAGACAAGAAAGCCGACCTCGGTACAGCATTGGGTTAGAACAGGACGAAACATACATTCCTCCTGGAGAATCCCTGAGAGACTTAATTGAGCAGTCTCAAAGCTCAGGAAGTGGATCAGGCCTCCCTCTGCTGGTACGAGAAGAGCATATCTTGAATTTAAAGGAAATGCCTTCTGAGAGGAAATGTCAATAACTACAGGGTTTCATTTTACTGAAACAGATAGGGTAGCGGACAGAGAGAAGCTCTACATAGTCAGTTAGACATCAGATCTTAGATGCAGGACTTCCTGATAACATTTTGACATACTGGGGGTAAGGTGATTGTTTTTTAATGTAAGTATATGGTTACAATCCAGACCCTTAGACATTCTGATAAGGAGCAGATTAGAAAATATTAAACACGGGACCATCTTCCCTCTGTTTTCAGTAAGGATAGCATTACTGAACTTTGGCCTGGCTTTTGAATGCAAAAGTATTACATCCAATTGGGATCTGAGTATTTCTACAGGGGAAGAAGACTGCATTTCAGCTGGAGGGCTTATATTTCAGGGCAAAGTTCTGGCTTTTCCATTCCTGAGAGGTTTAATTTTCTGATGACCAACCCTGCCAACATTGAAGAAAACATATGATGCATCCAAGGCTCTTGTTTTAATGAAAAAAACATTTGATTCCTTTATAGACCATATAAAAAGATTGTTGGGATGGAAAATAACAATTTTAATAAGAAATATTTTCCTAACAAACCCTTAGGATTGATTTTCTTAATCTTTATTGTCTGGTTCTGACTTTGGATATCATATTTACTTATTGTTTTGGTGATATTTTATTTTATTTTATTTTATTGTATTTTATTTTATTTTTTTTTATTTTATTGAGAGCCAGTGAGCATGAGCAGAACAGAGGGAGAGACAGAGGGAGAGGGAGAAGCAGACTTCCCACTGAACAGGGAGCCTGATGCTGGGCTCAGTCCCAGGATCCATGGATCATGACTTGAGACGAAGGCAGATGCTTAACTGACTGAGCCAACCAGGTGCCCTAGTGATCTTTTATTTTAGTACTCTAAGTGTGTGTTTGTTTTTAAATCTCAAGTCAAAAATTACAAGTTTTTTGAGACATGAAAGCTATATATCTATATAACGTATAAAAGTATATATTTAAATGTATACAACTTGAAGAGTTTGGGGGATTAGTATATATCCATGAAACCATAACCACAATTTATGGCATAGGTATATCTATAACCTCCGAAAGTTTCCTCCTGCCCTCTTTATTTATTTTTTGTTATTTTTAAATTTCATGTGTAAGAACACATAAGATACAATCTTCTCAGTCCAATTTTAAGAATATAGTACACTGCTGTTCATTGTAAGCACTGTCCTGTGCAGTAGATCTCTAGGACTTATTCATCTTGCATAACTGAAACATTGTTCTCTCTGATTAATACGTCCTTTCCAGGTGATAGGCTGGACAGAAAACAAGTAGTGAGGTAGTCATAAGCAAACGGATACTAGTTAGGATGTAGATTTTTTTAATGTAAAGTTTTTATTATCAAATTTTTTTTATTCTTAAAATGTAATATGTAGCAGATACAGTTCTCATATTTAAAAATCTGTATTATATATATATTTTTAAAAAGGAAAGTACAAATATTAAAATCTCTTTTAGTATTAAAGAATCAGATGTTTATGCTCTCGGAACTGAAACCTATTTGTTTGCCAGTGTTTTCTCCTTAGATGTTGTAATAAATCTCGAAACAAAAATACACTCTAAATTTCTGAATATAATTTAGTGACACTTTTTATCTTTGAGATAAGTTCCTATCCTTTCAAGCATTGCCAGTTCCATTAGTACATTCATTAAATTATAAAAAGATATATTATCGTTAGAAAAGAAGCGAACACAAAAGTGTTTATGTTAGGAAATGTTCCATAGATTTACATAAGCAATGCTTTATAACATATGTAAATTAAATATAAAATTTCTGTAATATGTGTGGGAAGTTTCCTCTCAAGTCAGTAAGTTAAGTACTAGGAGATTTGGCTCTTCACTGCTTAGTGTTTCTGATGCTTCTGTCCCCCCATTTGGACATGGAAATATACTGACCATTGCTTTGTATGCTCAGTATATTTTGTTTGACTCCTAAGTTGTTCCTTATTTCCTTCAGACTGAGTGGCTTAATTGCATGTCAGCAATGCTTTGATTTTTCAATCCTTTTAGAAAATAACATTAAAAAAGAAAAGATTTTATCTTTTACGAAAAAGCTTCTGTCTGATATTGGTGCTGTTAATGGTTCTGGCAATGGTGAGCATTACCTCTTGAATTAATAAAATCATCCATTATGCAAACATAGAATCCACCCTAGCTGGTAGACCTCTGAGGTAGGCATAATAATGGCCCTCCAAAATGCCGTAATCCCCAGAATCTGCTATTTTACATGGCAAAGGGGACCTAAGGGTTGCTGATCAGCTCACCTTGGGATGAAATTATTGGGGGTTATCTGGTGGACTTGGTATTATGATGGTCCTTACAAGTGTAAAAACAGAAAGAAAGACTTCAACTTTATTTGATGCAAAGCGTATGTCTATGAGGAGGACATTCCAATTTTCCAATCAGAACTCTTGTTCTATGCTAGGTTCTTTATATGTGCCTCCCAAATGATGTCACTTTCATCAATATTTAGCCATTTCAGTCATGCAGTCCTTCAGATTTTTTAGTGTGAGTGCAGATGAGCCGCAGATCAAAACCCATAGGCCACACCTCCGCTATTTTCTCTCCCTTTGTTCTGCTGCTCTCTCTCTCATTCTTCAGAGCGCTCTTCCAGCTGAACTTTCTCTCCAGATCCAATCTGCTGTTTTTCCACTACCTGTCCATTGTACATTTTTGACTGTGACAAGTACCTGTTCCACTACATAGTGTAATTTTCAACAATTTCTTGCCGCTTTTTTCTTTTCATTGTATCTTCTATTTCTTTACACATTTCATATAATGTCTCTTGTCATTCTCTGACAATTCTAGCATCTGTAATCTGAAGGGGTTCAATCTACTCAGGTTGTCTTTCTTACTCTCATTTATAAAGGCTGTTTCCTTTTGGTTTAAGGGATTTATTCTGTGGGATCTTCCTTGCCTCTCTGCCTTCCTGCTGCCCCTCCATTTCCTGCCTGCCCCTTCCCTCCTTGCCTTGGAGAATTTTCCTGTATTTCTTTTTGAGGCCAATCATTCATTACAGTTTTTTCTTTCTTGTATTTTACCATGATCAAGTTGCGTGGCGGCAAGAGTTCCTCCAAATCTAGGTGCTGGCTGCAGTGGTGAAATGAAAAGTATTCTGCAAATGATTTTCTCAGGAGAGGATTTGTACTTTGTACTTGTTTTTGCTGGGAGCCATGGTGTGCTACCAACCTTGGGCAAATTTAGTGTCTTTCAGTGGTCCCAGCTTCATGCTGAAGCCTACATTCGGTTTCTTAACTTTTAAAGAGGTCAAGGTTTAGATTCCGGATCCCAGCGCTGGTGTTCATCCTCACCAGAGGACAGCCTGGCTTTTGTGTGTGCCTAATGCTTACTGTTCCCTGCTCTGGTCCCAGCTCTTCCCTCCCTTCCTCTCCCCGCCCTCCTCCCTCCATCCTCCCCTTCGGACTTGGAGACTTCCTTTATTTCTTTGCCTGTCCAGCAATGCACTACGATTTGGTTTCATTGTATTTTATCCACAATCAAATATACAGTGGACGAGTCCCATCCGAGTGGCCAGTATTCCATTGCAGTGGTAGAAGTGAAAAGTATTCTATTCTGCCAATTACTGTGAACCCCTTCAGGGTTGTTTTTTTTTTTTTTTTCCTTTGTGAAAATGATAATAGGTAGAACGAAATATTCAGTGTGGAAGCAATAATTCAGACCTTCAGAACCCACAATCAGTCTCCAATCCATTTAAAAGGGACAGCATAAATGAATACCCAAACGCCAATAACTTGTCTATATAAAGAAAAACTATCGGCTAAATATATTTTGCATGCAGTAACTGGCTCTTCTCTGGAGGAAGAAAAAAAAAAAGATTAAACAAATCTGTAGTGCTGTGAATACACTAACAGTGTGTTTTGGGATTTAACAGGTCCAAAGGACTATAGCTAAGCAGATTCAGATGGTGAAACAGATTGGAAAAGGTCGCTATGGGGAAGTTTGGATGGGGAAGTGGCGTGGCGAAAAGGTAGCTGTGAAAGTGTTCTTCACCACAGAGGAAGCCAGCTGGTTCCGAGAGACAGAAATATATCAGACAGTGTTGATGAGGCATGAAAACATTCTGGGTGAGTCGGTATGGCAGTGTTCAGGGTTCCCTCGCACTCCCCTCATTTCTGTTCACATCTGCCTATTAACTCATCTGTCTGGACCTGTTATGAAATATATAGACGTTTTCTCCTTGGCCAGAGCCCAGGAACGTCACAGGTTTCTAATGGGAGGCCTCACAGGAGGAATGACTAGCACTTCTGTGAATGAGTAGTGGGCTGGAAATGGAATACTCTCAAAACATTTTTTTTCTTCAGGGACAGGAAATGCAAATGTTTAACACCAGCATTTCTTATGGTTTCTTAGGGATTTGAAGGAGCACGCGTTTAAATGTTGTGAAAAGTTCTAGAAGTTTTATCTGCAGGGTTTATATATATTCCGAGTGTATATATTGAGAATTGAGTTTTTAAAAAATTTTCTCAAGTTAGCAGTGATGTAGCTGGATCATTCAAGTGGAAACAGCCTGTGCCCCGACTCAAGACCCTGCTTTGTAAACAGTGTCTTATGTGTAACTACAATGCTGTGAGCTATTTACCGTTACTTTAAAAATAACTTACATATCAACTACTAACTAGAGAGGGATCATGTTTTCAGGTACAGACTCCTAATGTTTCTCTACCTCTACTGTTTTTATTGCCTCTGATTGGTTTTAATAATCTAATGCTGTCATAGGCATAATCATAAAGCTGAGTGAAATGGTAAACAAAGATACGTATGGCAAAGAATGATATTTGGGAATATGAATTATTCTTGATAGTATTCCGAGCATACCTGGCTTCAAACCTTTTTGTCTTTTCTTCCTTTTAGGGTTCATTGCTGCAGATATCAAAGGGACAGGGTCATGGACCCAGTTGTACCTAATCACAGACTATCATGAAAATGGTTCCCTCTATGATTATCTGAAGTCCACCACCCTAGATACAAAATCGATGCTGAAGTTAGCCTATTCTTCTGTCAGTGGCTTATGTCATTTACACACAGAAATCTTTAGCACCCAAGGCAAACCAGCAATTGCCCACCGAGATCTGAAAAGTAAGAACATCCTGGTGAAGAAAAATGGAACTTGTTGTATAGCTGACCTGGGCCTGGCTGTTAAATTTATTAGGTTAGTATCAAAATGAATAAATATACTTTTTATGATCCTTTTCTGTCACTTTTTATAGATTGTACATTCTGGGATACAGTGCTTTTAAGGTATTTAGTAGAGGAGGAGTTTTATTAATTTTGGTATTTCTTGGGAGGGAAAAAGAAGGAACATTTATTTGAAGAAACATGTATTTGTGTCCTGTTATTTCTCTGCTCATTGGTGACCTGGCTTCCAGATGGAGTTTGCATTAGGTTTGCCTCGTGTCTGGGATGATTTGGTCAGCAGTCTGCATAGCGTTTGTTAAGTAGGAACAAGTCTTAGCAAAGATCTACATGTTATGTAGTGATAAAGACCATGCTTTTTTATATGATGTAAAAAAAAAAGATAATTTGCATACATATTCTGTGAGAAAGGTTAGAAACTAACAAACAGAGCACACTCAGCGTTCAGCACTACTATACTGTGACTTACACAGTGAATATAACACCTGGTTACTGACACTAGCACGTGTCACAAGACAGTGGTTTCTGCCACAAGCGGAGGAGGAATGCCCAGTAGGTGGGACTCTATTTTGCCCACCTTCCCTCTAATCAGAGCGGCCCTGTTTTATCTTGCAGATGACTTAATTAGAAGAAACGATTCCTTTGCTTTGAAGACAAAACAAAATGAGTTTGCTACTACTGGAGTAGAGGGATTGTCATATAACTAACTACCTTTTAAAAAACTCAGTCTAGGCTTAGCCTTTATTAAGTTGTTGGATCCTCTTGTGGATTCCCCCCCGCCACCCTACCCCCCAAAGAAGACTTGATAGAAAGTGGAGAACAGCACAAAGGAAAAGCCATGGAGATGATTAAACGTTTGGGAAACAAAACTCATGAGAAAGAACTAACAGTTTGATAATTTTACCCAGAAGTGAAGACGAGGTGTGATTTAATAATAGGTCCCAAATATAGGAAGGTATCCACCGTTTAGAAGATGGTAAATTTAGATGTTCTCATCTTTAAAATCAAATGCTTTGGACTGTAGATTTGAGTTAGAAATAAGAACCTCCTGCCAATAAGATGAATAAATCCTTTCTCTTTTCTGAATTCTGCAACCTTTTCCAAGTCTCCTCTACAAAAAAAAAGAAAAAAACATTCCCATGATGCTTCTCAAATTATCAGCCTCTCTTGTATCTTCCCCTGTGAAATTTCTTGAGAGTTAGGAAGAGTAATCCTCTTTCACAATGGATCACGTAATTCATAATTATCTTGTGATGTTGTGTCTTCTGCTCCCTTCTCTCCTGAGCTTCTTTTTTGAGGGATACCATTGGTCTTTGTCACCAGAAGCCTTTCTTATTGTCATTCTACTGCCCACAGGGCACAGGCCTTTCTTCCTGCTGTTTCCTTGATGTCCCTTTATTCCAGGTTCACTTTCTTTCTCTGTGGGTTCTGTTCTCTGTGTACCTCTCACATATTTCCCCACTGCTGGATTTCCTGCTGTGTCTGCTTTTTCTTTCTAGTTCCCAGTTTTGGTCCATCCATTCTAAAATGTGAGGAGCCTGACATTTCTTTTGTTCCTTCAGTTTTTGGTTTGCTCAGTTGAATGAATTCTGTCTCTGTGATAGTGACATTCCCGTTTGAACTGGGTCCAGTTTGAGTCCTCTACTGTTTTCCTAGATTCTGGAGTAAAGCATTTTGGATATACTTACTTGCTCTTTTTTTTTAATAATTTATTTTTATTTTTATTTATTTATGATAGTCACACACAGAGAGAGAGAGAGAGAGAGAGAGAGAGAGAGAGAGAGGCAGAGACACAGGCAGAGGGAGAAGCAGGCTCCATGCACTGGGAGCCCGACGTGGGATTCGACCCCGGGTCTCCAGGATCGCGCCCTGGGCCAAAAGCAGGCACCAAACCGCTGCGCCACCCAGGGATCCCTTACTTGCTCTTTTATATTTACTTGCTCTTTGTCTTTCTTAATTTTTTTTTCTACATGCTGCTGCCAGATTTATCTTCTTGAAACATTACTTTTGGATAGCATAATAATTTCATAGTTTCCTATGGCTTTGGGTTCAAATGTAGTTTATATTCTAAACACTTTATACTTTCTCACACCTTGAAGTCATTTTTAAAGATTTTATTTATTTATTAGAGAGAGCGTGCGCGGGCGAACGCATGAGCAAGGGGGAGGGGTAGAAGGAGAGGGAGAAGCAGACTCCCTGCTGAGCAGGGAGCCCAAAGCCAGGCTCCATCTCAGAACCCTGGGATCATGACCTGAGCCAAAGTCAGATGCTTAACCAATTGAGCCACCCAGGCGCCCCTCTTGAGGTGTTTTTAACATGCTTTTAACTTTACCTGAACACCCAGCATCTCTTCTGTTGAGGTAATTACTGCTTATCTCCACAGATTATTCCTTTGGAATACCTCTTACTGTCCCCTTCCAAGTCTGACTTTCAGTTAGCCTTCAGCCCTCCCATGTGACCTGGTGCATACCGTCATGACACATTTTTCACACTCTCATGCAGTAATCAGTGACTACTTATCTGTTATTCCTAATTAAGACTGAGCTTCCATGAAGGTAGATACCATGTTTTTGTTTTGCAAATTTACATCCCTCATGCCTTTCCTTGGTGCCCATTACTTAGGCGTTGCTCCAAAATTTTGTGTAATGGACAGATGAATGATTCTCTGTGAACTACAGGATGAAAAAAAAAAAAAGCATCTTTTCTTAGCTCCAGAGGTCCCACACACTCTGGATTAAATCCACCTTCCCGGTCTTATATCCTGTAAGCCCTCCAACTTGTATGCTTTCTTTCACAAAACTGAAGTACCTGTGTTTTCTCCATATGTACTCCTTGTTTGCTACCATCTTGTAGTTGATCGCACAGTCTCTAGTTTGGAATGCCCTTGCTTTCCCGTGTACCCTATTCTAGTCTCAAAGCTGCCTTTAAGTTCCTTAGCCCATCCCCCAGCTAGGAATAATACCATCTTCTCGACTCCGGTAGTGATTTCCTGGCCCTTATCTGCCTGATACAGGTATTTAGTGCAAGCCTCCTCATGCCTCCTCATCATTGGGCATCCTGAGAGCAGGATCCCTTCCAGATTAATTAATTTCCCATTTGACATGACATAGCAAATGATCCATTATAGGTGTTTCAACATTGTTTCAAATCAATACCTCTTGGCAGTATCAAAGTAATTGAGAACTTCTTCTTTATAGACCTTAAAAAAATAAGAAAGTCAATGTTGTATTTCTGAAACTCAGCTCTGCTCAATATAAGGAGAATGAACTAAACAACCTCTCAGATTTCACGCAAACCCTGATTCTAGCAAGTGGAGGGGAATTTTTAAGGGACAACTCAAAGATCTATTTGGAATATATTGACTCATTCATCAAGAGAGGAAAGCTTGAGGATACTGGTTCCGATATGAAACCGTGGCTGGTGGAGGCACAAATCTCAAATGGCTAAAGAGTAGCTGTGGGGCCACTTAGTATTCTGGGCCTCATTTCCTTCCATTAGATGGAGGTTGCCTTTGATAATTTCAGAGGCCCTTTTCACATTTTATTTTCTGTGTTTCAAAGGAACTTTGCTCTTCTCAATATTTGAGCCTGACTTTTAAACCTTGCTTTTTATGTTTCTTTGGTTTTCACTCTTTTCCTGATTTTCCTATTTGGGGGCATGTGCACACACAGAGATAGTTAGAGATCATATTACAAGTGGGGTCAGAACTAACCCAGTGTGGAGTTCTCAGACTTCATAAGTGGACTTCCTGTGAGAATTGAATCTCTACCTTGGTCTCTACACGGTAAGTGTTCTCTCAGGCTTTTAAGTAATTTCTGGGAGGTTCCCAGGGAAGTTGAGAGCCACAGAGAGAGTGGACTACACTTCAGAGATTTTCTCCTCATATGAGTTTTTTTTTATCCCATATTCATTTTTTCATACACTCTCTCAAAAGTGATGTAAGTGCTGGTGTATTTCCTGCCCATCAGAGATTGAATCCAGGTGATGTCGCGGCAGACAGCACCATAACCCCAAATCTCTTTCAGGAGGAGAAATCAGTGACACGTGAAATGCCTTAAAGGAAAACTTACAGATCTTTTCACTTTTTACTTTGGAAAATCAAGCAACTTCTCTGGTTCTTGAGCATCAGAATCATATATTTTCTTAGGGGGAATGAAGCCGTGGTTTAGGGCTTCTTAGGTATTACATTTTAAGTAGAGAAATGACAACGGACACTGATCTGTAGCCCAGATCTCCCAGCTGATGATTGTCAGGTTGTCCAGATGCAGAGGCCGTAGGGTGGCGCAGCCCAGAGGGCACCACGTTTCCCCAGCGGCTTTCTCAGACCTTTACAACTAGCCCTGCTGCCCATGGGTGTACTTAATGGTATTTTTTAAAATAGCAATATGTCTAAAGCTCACTATGACCCTGAGAAGTAAGCGAATTGGTGACAGGGTCAGCTACCTTCAGTCAGGATTTCTGCAGCCAAATGCACCTTCTTTAGTTGGAGGGGTCTGTTTCCCAGAAATCAGAGAAGCATCGAGTCCTTCGGAAAGTGCATCAGAGAACGCTCCCCATTGGTCAGCATCTGACTGGGCCCAGTCAAGCGCAGCAGATCAGCTCCACAGCTACTTCGCAGCTGCTCCGGGAAACGCCGGGGCATGTGCGCAGCCCTTCTGGAGGCTCCTGACGGCCTTCCGGGGTTGCTCTCGTCCCCCCAGGAGGAGGTTCAGTAGTCTCTGGTAGGTGTCACGGGGAGTTGATGCCAGAGATCAGTTGCGAGCTTGGAGCAAGCCAGGGGCAAACCAGTGGCAAACAGTGGCAAACCAGTGGCAAACCAGTGGCTTCCTTCTCTTGTCTTCTGTCCCCCTCCCTTCTTTCATTGTTCTTTAAAATTCCGTTCTTGGGCAGCCCGGGTGGCTCAGCGGTTTAGCGCCGCCTTCAGCCCAGGGCCTGATCCTGGAGTCCTGGGATCGAATCCCACATCGGGCTCCCTGCATGGAGCCTGCTTCTCCCTCTGCCTGTGTCTCTGTGTCA